TTGGCCTGGGTTCTGATATGATTATAACAGTAACTGCTTCCAGGCTTCAGTGCTCCTTTCCCTTAGGAGGTTGCAACGACGTTCTCTGCTCTTCTGACAGGGTTTTAGGAACTGGGTTTTAAAATTGTAAGTTGAGTGACCAAAGCATATTGTCTTCTTGTGGATGAGCTTGCATGCTGGTGAATGAAGGTGAAACACTCCTAGTGAAAGCAGACTAAGGGAGCTAAACAAATCATGAATCTTTAACCCATTATTTTTATAGAGATGTCCTAACTTGACAGCCCTTAGCATTCTGGTTTGTTTCTTCCCACACAAGCTAAGAAATTAAAGCCAGGCTTGTTAGTAGAGACAAGCTGGAGTGTCAGGTCCTGCTGGATCCAGACGTCCCACTAAACAAACGATGGACAAAAGGCCAGTGGTGTGTTTAGCTGCTCTTGCCTACAAGCTGTGACGATGGGTCCATTCTTAATATCGCGTTGCCTTGTTCTTCATTTCATAGAATTCTGGTTAGTTGTTTTATAGGACAACAGTCAGTCGTTTCATACAAAGTGACAATGAGGCCTGGTCAATATCTTGTGTAGATAGCTCAACTTGGAATATGATCCAAGTCTTGTCTATGCACAAACATTTCCCAGACTATTTTCAGAAAAAAACCTATTCCTTGAAATAGGTGCTTTGAAAACTCTATGTTAAGTTACTACCACTGTTACTTTATTTAAAGACCTTTCAGAAGTGGCTAGGGATTACTTGACTCCTAGATGCATGCCGATAGTAATCTCTCATACTAATCTCACAAAAATCAAATTGAAAGAACCTCTTGATGGCTTATGTTCCAGGAATCAGATTTGCCTCTTTTCTGCCATGCCACTATTAATAGCAAACATGAAGGGAAAACCTTGGATGACACTCCCATTTTGTCTTAGCCCCATTGCTGGAAGCAGGCACAAAGAAACTGCTTTTTCAATCACTCTAATGTTTGATCTGATGACATGTCTTGGGTAGTAGGAAATCAAAGCTACTTTTTTCTTACCTGCTCAAACATGAATGCAAATTCTACACTATCTTTTGGCACATGTTCTGTATCTAGGAAGCAGTAGAGCTTGAAGTAAAATTTCCATGCTGTAAGATCAC